ATGGAAGTTCAGAATGGTTAAATGGCTTTCCCAAAGCACTACTGTGAGAAACAAATTCACCTGTCCAAACCCAAAGAATGGACTCCGAGATCCGGAGAATGGCAAACATGAGACTTTTCATGGCAGTCTTGCAACATCCTGTGTTTAGCATGCACTCACACCCGGCACAGTCTCAACAAGCAATTTATCCGGTAGTGCGCAGGTCCCTCCCCAGTTTCCTCATAGGATGAGTACTATGGGGTTCCTAACTTCGGTCACGTCGCCTATTTATTGTTAGGCAGGGGCTTTAGGTCTTTTTTTTTTTTTTTTTAATTTTTTATTGGATTATAGGTTTTGGGGTACATGAGCAGAGCATGCAAGACAGTTGCGTAGGTACACACATGGCAGTGTGCTTTCTTTTCTTCTCCCCTTCACCCACATTTGGCTTTTCTCCCCAGGCTATCCCTCCCCAAGGTCTTCTTTTTTTAGGGTTGTCTTGCTGCACTTTGCAGCCGCCCACAATGCACCACAATCCTAGTTAGCTCAGGGGATCTTTAAGTATTTGATTTATGACCTAAGCAGCTGGGCAGGCTGGTAAGAACAGATAAAGTGACCTATTGCATACTAGTAAACTATTATCTTTGACTAAAATTCTTTGGTTTGGGTGAGGGCAACTATGTTGGAAGAAAAGCTATTTCTTCTGTAGTTTGCTGACCTAAGCCGATTCAAGGCACTTTGTCTTGGAAATGGACCACGATTATACATTATTTCCTTTAAAACTAAAACATGTCAGGACCAGTGGGCTTCAAATGCTAGCTGATTGTATTCGGCCAGGTAGAGCCAAGTACTTCACTTTCGTGAATTTCAGTTTGGTTTTGTATAAAATGAGGATCATAATACAGACCGTGTGAGGTTACTGAGTTGGGGAGACGGGAGAATGTATAACAGGTGATCTATGCTCATTCCCTTGTCTTTGAAAATGCACACATCAGGAAGGGAAGGGCCTGTATTGTGTATAACGTATTACCTTCATAAAGCTGGTGAACAAAAGACTTTTTCTGACTGACTCACCACATCCTTTACACGATGACTAAGATCAGATCAGAGTGTGGTGCTGTCAGTGTGTCAGCCCTTCTGAGTAGAACACAGCTCTTTGCCCTGTAGAATGCCTCTCTTGTCTTGCTGATGACACTGTGTGGCTAGCTCAGTCTCTAGCGTGGGTTGCTGAGACCTCGAATTCTGCTTTTTTTTTTTTTTTGAGATGGAGTTTCATTCTTGTTGTTCAGGCTGGCATGAAGTGGCACGATCTCAGCTCACTGCAGCCTCCTCCTGGATCCAGCAATTTTCCTGCTCAGCCTCCCGAGTAGCTGGGATTACAGGCGCCCACCACCACGTCCAACTAATTTTTTGTATTTTTAGTAGAGATGGGGTTTCACCATATTGGTCAGGCTGGTCTCAAACTCCTGACCTCAGGTGATCCACCTGCCTTGGCCTCCCAAAGTGCTGGGATTACAGGCATGAGCCACTGTGCCCGGCCTCAAATTCTGCTCTTTAAAATGATGGAAGAATTTGGGTTCTCTCTATATTTTTAAATTCTTCTAATACAATAAATTGCTTGCATCTCTCAAAAGCTACTAATAAAATATTTTTAGCTTTTACTCACAGTTTAAGATACAAGTCTAATAAGCACTGATGTTAACAATCAAATAATATACAGAAATTTATATAAGGCAAAAATTAAGGATTCCTCCCTGATCCCTCCAGTTTCCATCCCTGCTATCCTATGTATTAGCAATTTGTCAGAATCTTCTGCAATTTGGCTCTGCACAGAGCTCTATTGGAAAAGACAATAAGACATAAGAAATGTAATGGCAAACTCTAACTTTTGAAACCATTTTTGTCACCAATTATTGATGGATTGTAATTTTTTTAATGAAACTATTTCCATTTCTTTGAGCTGAAAAAGATCTATTTGGCCTAAGCCGCTCATTTTTCAAGTGAAGAAACCAAACCCCAGAGAGCACCAATGCCTTACTCAAAGCTACATGGTGCATGGCAGGGCTGGGACTGGAAAGCAGCTTCCCTGGCCACCTTGCCAGACCTCTAACTGGAGGCAATAAGCCTTGCAGAGAACTGCCCTGCATCTGTGGTCCCCTTACGCTGTACATGAGAACTGGCCAAGAGCCAGGCATGCAGGGAGCCCTCCGTAAAGACCGGTTTATTTTGTCCTATTTCAATGCTACTTAATGCATTCGAAAGAATGGAGTAGCTGTACAAGCAACTGTCATTCAGAGGCAGATACTCTTTTTCCTTTTCGAGACGGAGTCTTGCTCCTGCCAGGCTGGAGGGCAGTGGCGTGATCTTGGCTCACTGCAACCTCCGACTCCCGGGATCAAGCGATTCTCCTGCCTCAGTCTCCCCTGTAGCTAGGATTACAGACATGTGCCACCACACCCGGCTAAATTTGTATTTTTAGTAGAGACGGGGTTTTACAGTGTTGGCCAGGATGGTCTCGATCATCTGACCTTGTGCTCCTCCTGCCTCGGCCTCCCAAAGTGCTAGGATTGCAGGCATAAACCACCACCCCCTGGGCATGTGGTAGATGCCCTTATGGGATAAGGGATGAATTTGTCCTGTATGACTGTAATCCAGTAATTTAATCTCTACAAATATTAATATTCAAAAATTGGCATCAATAACCCTACATACCCAAATATAACATGACTGATGCTAAAGCAACCTGCAAATATTGCTTTGTTATACAAGTAACTGCGTATCCGTATTTCATAACATTTCACAGTTTGTAAGACATTTTCATATGCACCAATTTATTTCACACTTAAGACAGGCTGTAAAAGAAAGATACTGATGCTACTATTTATAAACTAGGAGAGACCAAGTGTTCCTCAAGGCCACGCAGCTAGGTAATGACAGCACTGGAACTGAACAGAGGTCTCTCAACTTCCAGTCCAGCACCCTTCCAGTATTTGCTGTGCATTCTTTATATTACACTAATGAAGGCTCAAGTCCTCTTTCCCACCACCAGGATGGAGACGACTTCCACATGAGGCCATGAGTTAGACACTCTACACACTGTCCACACTGGGCCATCTGTGAATGAAAGCCTAACAGCCGCCTCCCCTGTCCCTGCTGTCAATATTGACCTACAAGCATAAGATGAGGGGATGCGGCAGGGGGGTGAGGGCAGAGGAAAATACACAGGGTATCAGAGGACATACAGCTTAGTTCAAGTTCTTTAGTATGTGTTACCAGTATGGGTTGAAGATCACACAGTTCAAGTTCAAATCCCATCCCCTGGCAAGCACGATCCTTGATCATCTCAATCCAAGGGACTTTCCCTTGATCTTTTTCAGGCACTACCAACATCCCAGCTATCGATCCTTCTAGTTTTACCAAAATGTGCAAAGCCACTCTGGCACAATGTGCATTGTAACATCTTCACACCTTTACACATGATGTTACACTTGCTCGGAACACCTTCCTGAAGTTTGAACCCAGAAGGCCCAGACTTACCTGGTAAGATGCAGCTCAAGTATTCTCTCTTCTATGAAGATCACCTCGGCTGACTCTTCAAGATAGAGTTAGGATTTGTTATGTTTTGTTTTACATTCATCTTTTTGTTGCAAAAGATTTTAACAACAGCCATCATGGAGAGATGCAGAGACTGTAGAAGTAGCTTAAGGTCAGAGACTGTGTCTCACTGGGCACAATATTTGCACAAAGTAAATTTTTAGTAAATGGTAGTTTCCTAAATCAATGAATGAATGAATGGATGGATAGATGGGTGGCAGAATATACTAAAAATGCTTAGGTGCGGTGGGGTGCCACATGCTGACAGGTTAGGAAGTGGAAATTTCTGGGTTCTCTGGACCTTGGCTCTTATTGAATATGGTTGTTCTTGGTCACATAATTTAATCTTCCTGCATCTCATCCTTAACTGTGAAGCCCACTGTCTACCCTACTCCACTCAGCTGGGAGCCCAGGGAAGTTGATGGATATTAAACCATATTAATAGCTCCTTGTCCTTGGCTTCCTATTGAGTTTGGCTAACGGGAGATAGCATCAGGAGATCCAGGGGAGAAGGAGCATGAGATAGAGATTTTCATTCCACTCACCACAGCTCCCTCCCTGCAGGTCCCACAACTGAAAGCCACAGCTCCTCTTCCTGCAACCCAGGAAGAAAGCTCTGTCTCTGTGTCCCAGTGCCCACCTGGTCCCCAAGCCCCTCCAAGACCAGGCATGTGACAGTACCCTTATGTTACCACCTCCAGATACTTCACTGTCTCCTGTTCATTTGTTCTACTCTGCCCACACCTTTTAAATGGTCTCCTTATTAAGCTGTACTCAAATTACCCAATTTCACAGTGTCATCTGTTTCTTGCTGGAAACTCAGCTGATATCCTTTATACCTCTCAGGGTCTTTGAGTAGATTATATGTGATTATTGATACGAGGCCGAAGCCCTTACTGAATACTCTGAGCATCTCTGCTGCTAATGTATATAGTAAGTAACATAATCTCTCCTATGTGGGTGAATACAAGGCTCAAATAAAATGTTGCATTCTATGTAAAGGGATACAGAACTGTAACTTCCAATAAATATTTCATGGTAAAGTCACACTTGGAAATGAAAAGCACCCCTTCTCCTGCCGGCTCTGGCTCGGAGCAGAGCCAGCCAAGCCTGGCTAACGTGCCCTCGGTGCCCAGGGGAAGCACACAATTGCACGCCAGGGAAAACCAGGCTCAGTTTATGTTTGCTCAGCTCCCGGGGGCAGATGGGATGAATGCTGACAGAAAGAGGACAGCCTGTCAGAGAAAGAAATCCCCTCCCCCACAGTGTTCCAGAAATAAGCAATTCTTGACCTGGATTGATTCTCTTCCTGTCATTTCCTCCAAATCAGCACCTGCATCCAATTTTAACAAGAAGCAACGGCGGCTTGTTCCCCAGAATTAAAACATGGTGTGGATGTTCCAGTAACGAGTTTGCTTTTGTTTCCACAGGCTGAGTTGAAGATCCCTCTTATCTGCTGGGTGTCAAGAACTATGAACAGGCAGTAAGTACCATGGCATTACTGCAAGCCCCAACTCCCTTTTCTTAGCTGAGACAGGACATATTTCCTGGAAGATGAACTAAGAAATGATGCCGCTGTGCCCCCTCTGCCCAACATGGAAAGGGGATTTTCTGAGGCCATAGTTGAGAGTGTGCGCTTTGGTGTTTAGAAAACGCTTTTTTCCAGTAGCTGCATTTTCTTAATGACAGAGCACTGGTTCTCACCCAGCATGGGGATGTGGTGGTGCAGGGATGACATATCCCAGCACCATGATGCTAGAAGAGCACCCAGTCACTTTCCATCCCTGGGCATGAGGGACTAAGTAAAAGGAAGTGGTGTATGCACTTTTTCCCACCGGAGGAAGCCTGGAGTTCCTTTCTCTTTGTGGACACTCAGAGAGTGGTGTGGTCAGTCTCAGACACCCAAATTTGTTCCTGAAATTTAAAAATGCCATCCTTTACAGTGAAAAAAAGGACCTTGAAATTGGCAAAGTTTGGTGTCCCAGTTTTAAAACGAATCTCCTTATCTATTTATTTGCTTTATTTTGCCAGTCAGAACGGTAGTTTTGTTATTCCTCTTTGGTGTGAAAAGCGGAGTGATTGTATTAGAAAGAGCGTGAGTTTCAGAGTCAGACAGACCAAATCCCTTGCCCTGTCATTTTACATCTGTATACTAATGGAGAATGATGATATCCTAACCCTCTGGATATGCACGAAGTTACTTAACCCTCTGAAAAGCAGAATCTGACTTGGGGAGGAGGACTGCCTGGCTTCTGGGTGGATGTCTTGATCCTAGAGGGAGGCTAGGGGACAGAACACGATAACCAGGCAATGGCTGCATCTCGCAAGTGGGCACTGGCTGGAGGGCTCTGGTCCAAGAGACAAAGGGAAGAGCAGGTGGTAGAGCAGCTCCAGCATCTCAGCTACCCACGGATGCTGACAGGTGTCCAGGTGGAGTGACCTGACTCACATCCAGGCCCAAGGGATGAGAAGTCTGGAGCTTCTGTTCTTCCTCTTGCCATGAACAGCACAGCAGGAGCTCTCTGGCATGTAGTCCACAGATGGGCTCCTCACTCAAGGAGGAATTAAGCTCATCAAGCAATCCTTCTTTGCCAGGAGTTATGACCTTTTCCTCCTCAAGCCTTAGAGCAAGACTGGGTGGCTAGTGATACAGCAGGTATCACTAGCTCCCTGGAAGATGAGCTTCTTCATCGCAATGCCTTGTCTGAGATGACTCAGAGCATTGAGATGAAGGTGGAGCTGGAATTCAAGTCTGTCTGACTCCCAGTTCAGTGCTCCTTCCATTCTTCTCCCCACCGTGGGAAACAGAGAAAGCACCAGTAGGCAGTCAGGGCTAATGTCAATCCAGGTGAGCTGGTTAACCTGTGGTTGCACCACAAAGGGGATGAACTCTTAGACCCAAGGTTGGCATTGGGGACAAACATGGCAAACAGCAGTTTCATTGTAGGATAGATGAATTAGAAGTTTGCACTGATGACATAACCAGCACAGCGGGTGTATTAGTGTCCTGGGCTGCTCTAACAAATTTCCACCACATGCATGGCTTAAAACAGGAGGACTCTATTTGCATACAGTTCTAGGAGGCGGAAACTCAAAATTAAGAGGTCGGCAGGGCCTTTCTTCCTCCAAAAGCTCAACAGAAGAATCCTTCCTGGTCTCATCCGGCTCCCGGAGGCTTCTGGCTTTCCTTGCCTGTGGCCGTATCACTTCACTCTCTGCCTCCATTTCACATGGCCTTCTCCTCTGTGGCCATATTTTCTTTTATTCTTCTCACCTCAAATCTCCCTCTGGCTGTCTGATATATACATATATTTGTCATTGGATTTAGAGGTCACCTGGATAGTCGGAATGATTTCTTATCAAGATCCTTAACGACATCTGCACATTTTCCAAACAGGGTCGCATTCACAAGGGTCAGGGATTTGGATGTAGACGTGTGGTAGGGCCACCATTCGGTCCACGGCAGCAGGCACTACCTTCACACTCTCTCCTCTTCTTGGGGGGCAACGTGGGATGGCTTTGAAAAGTGTGGCAATATTTGCCAAGAGCATTTGCCTGGCTTTGTAGCTGAGATTCCCACCCCTTCCATCTCTGCTTCTATGTCTTTTAATAATTCCACCCTGTGCCAAGGGCCTCTTCTATAAGAGGAGAGGTTTTCCCCTTTTATGAGGACTTTCAGTGGCTTTGGTTTTTAGGCAGGGAGTTGGTCTCCGTTGAAGCTTTCCAGAGGGAAGCTTTGTGGTTTCAGCTTTGCAGTCAGGTTAGATCTGAAGCAGGCAATGTGTAGACCAGAGGACAGTCAAACCATCACCATTTCACAAGCATTAGCTTCCTCTCATTAGGATGAGTTCACGTGGAGCCCACACACTTGACTCTGACACGTCAACATTAGGCACCCTCCTTGATGAATAATTCTTCTCTCCCGAAACTCAGGGCATCTTTTTTCTTCCCTAATCCCAATCTCTTCTTTACTCTTTCCTCTTGTGCAGCCTCAAACCAGTCAATCCATATGGGATTGCTGCTGGCCTGTCCCAAAGTGAAAAGCAAATATTAAAATTAGAATCCCCCCTGCACCATCCCCCCTGCCGGTACACTTACACATTAAAGAGAAATGCATAAGCTGGCACTATCCAAATGAAAGCTAAGATGCCCTAGTACACTCTGTGTTTTATTCTCCACCTTCAGGTTTCCCGTCCAGGGTGTCCTGAGCTGGAAGATGATGTTGATCTAAGTGCAGACTGCATGCCAGCAGTGTCAGCACCACCAGGGAGCTTGCTAGAAATGCAGAACCTCAGCTGCTACAGCATAGCCCAGGCATACTGAGTCAGAATCTGTACTTTTACAAGATCCTCAGTTGATTCCTGGATGCGTTAAAGCCCGAGAAGTGCTGAACTAGATCGGGAGTTCTCAGCACCATTTCCTTCCCAGCACACTTGAGAACTCACCTACAGTAGTCGCCAAGGCATGACTCAGAGAAGGCAGCCACATATGGGGCTGGGTGTGAGTATCCTTTGGAAACGTGTGCCCCCCATCACCATACACACAGAGGTTTTTGTTTTGCTGTGCCTTGTGGGGTAGTACTCACTTCCTCTGTCAAAATTATTAACCCAGCCAATTCAAGGTAGTAGATTTTAAACCTGAAGGAATATTAGAACCATCAGGGAGGCTTTAAACAAAAGCAATTTTGATTTCCTTCCCCAAAGCAAAGAAACCAGAATAGTTGGATATCAGTCTTGTCTTTTATCTGTTAATGCTCAACTGAATGTAATCTACAGCCGCTTTTGTGGAATAATGTCTCACAATTCTGTAACCTGGAATTTCTTACAATTCGGACCTGGACTCCTAAGCAGACTTTGTAACTACAACTAATTTCCTACTGTCTTAGTCTTCTCAGGCTGCTATAGCAAAATAGCTCAGACTGGATAACTCAGAAACAACAGAAATTTATTTCTCACAGTTCTGGAAGCTGGGAAGTCCAAACACATGGGGCCAGCAGATTCTGTGTCTGGTGAGAGTACTTCCTGGGTCATACATAGCTGTTTTTTTTGCTGTGTCTTCACATAGTAAAGAAGGGAAGGAATGTATTTTCTGGGAACTCTTTTATAAGGTCACTAATCTCATTTCAGGGGAGTTTTGCCCTCTTGGCCTAATCACCCCCCAAAAGCCCAACCTTTTAATACTTACCTTGGTGATTAGCTTTCAACATATGAATTTAAGGTGTTCAAAAGCATTTAAATCATAGGAGTATCTCTCATTAAGCACTTTTACAATGAATCAATTAATAAGTACAAATGAATGGATGATATAGAAATACATATTTTATATGTACACGGTGATGTGAACCTATGGGCATCTCTAAGTGTCGTTGGATTTAGGGGTCTCACAATATAAGCATATGCACACATATTTGTATATGACTGTATTAGTCAAAAGCACTTATTTGTTGAGTGTACATTTCACGCACCTCATTTATAAAGATGAATCAGATCTAGTCTCTGCCCTCAAAGAAGATTAGCCATATGTAGAGAATTCTTTCAGTATTACATAGAGTGATGAGAAAACTCCACAAGTAGTAAGAAGAGGTCCTGATGGCATGATTCTAAATTGCTTCTGAAATTAGCAGGCTATTTTTCATTGACTTTCCGTGCAACGAAACTTGCAGCTTCCCTAGCAATGCATTAAACTGCAGAAAGCCTCATTCCTGGATGCTGTTAGAGAAGAGCGGACAGACTCAGCAGTGGCCCCATTACACCGCAGGGGCTGGATAAGGGCATCTTGGGGTTTGGTTTCCAGTACCTCTTCATCATTCTGGACAGGACTGATAAGAACCTTGACGCTGTGGCTCTGAGTGCTTGGGAAGAGACAAAGTCACCCAGGTGATTGCTTCCGGACTCTTTCCAGTAAGCCAGTGTACTGTACTGGCCTGCCAGGCTCTTTTGGAAATTCGAGTGAAAGACACTCTTGCACATCCCAGATTGGGGATAGATCAGGAAGCAAGGGTCTCCAGAGTGTCCACTTTGAAATAAGGCTTAAAAAGTTACTAAGCTTGTTTTGTTCATTAGCGAAATTATCCCCAGCACTGATGGAAATTTTAGAAAATACACAAAAATACGCAGAAGAAAATGAAAATTACCAATTATCCTAACACCCAGCACTAACTTGCTACAGTTGTCTTAGTTCATTTTTCTATATCTACAGGTAATATCTTAAAATTTTAGAAAATCTGCTTTAAAAACTCATTCTTTTAAGTCATTCACTTAATAACAATGTTACCTTTTCTGACCATTGTCCTACATGATTAAATTTTCTTTAGAATCATGGTGTTTTGAAGCTGTGACTTAAATGAGGTTTACCACCCCTTCTTCATAATTTCAAAGTCAAAGGGCTTTGAAATACTGAAAAGCCTTTATAGCGAATTTGACAGAATAACCTGACATGCAGCAAGCTAATGTAAGTCCTCATTCATCCTAATTAATCTATCAC